ACTGACTCAATGTCAAACATACATGGGGATTATGCAGCGCACTTAGAGGCTCCTCAAGGACTGCGTTGGTCACTTCTCCCGCGCTCCTCGAAGAGGCTCTTACACTGGTCTTTGAAACGTTTTTTTGGGGGTCTTGCTCGGGTCCTTCCAGCCGAGTCCAATCCCAAAGCACAACATCCTAGACCCTAACGTCATCTAACTAGAGCCCAAATCATTTCCTCCCCCTTCAACATAAAACCCGCCTTCCTTGTATCAAACATTCCCAATAATGACGGTTTACCATAATGTGCTAGAAATATCTTATCTCTAAGGGGTAGCAGGCTTTTGGTAGTGGTCGCTTCCATTTTCTCTTCCCCGCCCCTATAAACCTCACATCCTAAAACCCTCAACTTCACATAATCTTTTCACATATTCGGGGGAAGGGATTACCCCACCAAGTAAGGTCCAAGCCAGCGCTGGATCCACCTTCTGCCATTGCCAGCCCTTCACCTTGTTCGCGCTTTAGAGTTTTGGGTTTAGGGTCTAGGGTTTAGGGTCTAGGGTTTCAGGTCTAGGGTTTAGGGTTTAGAGTTTTGGGTTTTGGGTTTAGGGTCTAGGGTATAGGGTTTGGTGTCTATGTTTGGGGTTAAGGAATTAGGGTTTAGGGTGCATGTGGGGTTCTATGTTGTTATGGAAAGAGTACTAATCCAGAAGCCTAGTTTGTCAATCACTAAACCCTGAAAACTAAACCCCAATCCCTCTTCCCCCTCCAACGGAGGGGCGACATGGGGAGTTGTTTTGAGAAACCGTAAACCCGTCCAGCGATGTGCTGGGGTTCCTGGAACGGATCCTATGACCAAACTCTCAGGACCCCCCAATCCGAAGTCAGCTCCTCATCGCCTCCCCTGCTGATAGCAGGCTGTGTGTCTTAAAAGGTCCTAAGCTCTTGAACACTACGTTCAAGCCCGAATGCTGGATTTAAGGCCATTATGCACGCCGAATTGCTGAACACTGGTTTGCGCACCTGAAGCATTGAAACCACTATCTCGAACTGCAAACCAGACACCCCCAACAAATCGGGGAGTGCCTTTGGAAGATCTCCGTCGGGGGAGAACGTTAACGTGCCTGTGAACTGTATGTTGTGGTCTGGTAGCAAACTCCGTCTTCCGGAGTAAATGCTGCTGCGCCCTATGCACAGGAAGTTCTGAAATCTGAAACCGTATATGCCTATGCAAGAACACCATCCCCTAAACCCCAACGCCTAAGCCAACCCCCGAGCCGAACCCCTGCACATAACTTTCGAGTCCTATACCATTCACGATGAAGCTTATACATTTCATCATCCATCTCCTTTTCCACTTACGCTTCTCAATTATAGAACCTATTGAAAATATCTGAGCCTACCAGTATGGGCCATTAGACCCCACAATTCCCGATTAGGACCCTGATACGGATAGATTAGGCAGCCTTCGTCTAATAGCCCAGCCTGGTATGATGCCCTAAATCCTAAATCCTCATACAAGGAGACCCCGAGGCACACACTCCATTTGTGCCTGGCTCGCGAGGGCCCGAGAGTGCCTGCGTGTGAGCCTGGCGACTGGCACTCGATTTTTTTGTTTCTTGGTGTGTAGAAATTCTTGTAATGTCCCTGGAGAATTTCCAGAATTATGGGAGCCTTTCTGGGGGATCCCTAGACTAAGATCGTTGGTATATTTTCGTCTGTATTGAAGCTATTTAGGGAAGATACCACCTACAGCTTTACTTCGGTACTCCGGGGTCCAGCTAGAGGGCTACCTCATTGTGGCCATTAAGAGCTATGGCTCCATGTGGTAAAGGATTCCGGATCAAAGGTTAATAGGGAGGTTTGCAGACAACCCTACCTGGACCCTGTAAGGCCCACCTTGTTTCCTTTCCTATCATGACATAAAACCAACACTACAGCTTCCGTAGGGTCCAGCCAAGCCCGAGACATTATTAGCACTTTCAAGGTGCATTTGGGTAGTGTTCTCAATTACCGCGATGCCGGGCCTACCGTCTTGGCAACATGGTAAGTGCTGGGACTTCAAGACAGGGATGCCATAATGTGATCATAAGACTTACCCTAGTAATCCAAGTATACAAATAATATCCACATTGGGCCCTAATTATTAATGGCTATAAATATTACCTAAATTACGCTATTTGGATCCTCAGGGTTAAGGCTCACAGAGGAAGAAGGGGATTGAGAGTCGAGAGACCGCCCTATCGTGCTTTCGGCCGTCCTCCCTTTGTATGTCCATGTAGCTGTATAGATTATACATGGGAACTAAAGTACCTATATGGGAACCCTTTTGGGCTAAAGTATATACTATCTATATCGCTACTTTGCGCTTGCTAGCTGCGAGCACGGTTAATCCCCACATGGCGGGAGCTGTTCAGAAAAAAAGTGCGACACAAGAAAATCCACATGGTAGTTTCCACAAGTAGGGGGACCCCATCACATAGACCCCAGAATACTATAGCCGTTGGCCCCAAGAAGGTACCCCTAATTTTGGGAAACCCCATAAATGCTACCAAACACCTGATAAGCAGTGCAAATCGATAGCATGATCCTAAACATGTGTTGGCCAAACACAAATCTACTGACCCAACCATGACGCTCAAGAAGACACCTGCTTTGCCTTGAAGGATGAGATCTTCAATTCGTTTTCGCTAGTTTAGGCACTCCAGGAACTTCTCTTAAAAAGCAAAACGTGGCGTCAAACTCCGCACCCAAAGCTTGAATCTTGATGCCTCCAGGGGTTCGAGCCAGTTGATGCGTGACCTGGGTTCTGCCAACATTCAGTGTGGGCATTAGGGCTCAGGGTCCGGTATCTGGTACAAGGCATTCAGTATGAACCATGGGTGCCAAGGCATGCACCTTGAGGTCAAGAAAGCCTATACTGGTTCTTCAGTAGGGAATAAGGGAATGCAACCCCTACATAATCCCTATATAATACATTCTGCCAGGGGTGTTCATAGAAGTTGCAACCTTCAAACCCCTTGACACACCCGCAGTTCTGAGAAAACAAGGGGATCCTCTTCCCCAGAATGCTCCCAGCAGGACCTGACAGGCATCTTGCATCAAAACCATGGCCATGACAATGATGGGGAGTTCTTAACTGTTGTGCCTTTCTTCGAATGTCCTTCACAGGGACTTCCACGAAATTCGGGGAGCTGGGTGTCTCGAAGTTTGGACACCAATCTCCCCAAAGCAACCATGGAGCCCCATATGGAAGCCTATGCTAATGACAGGAGCCTCTCCAAAATCCCTTCGGGTTTATTTCGGGGAGCATTCTTTTCGCACTATGCGTGATGTCAGCCTGCAACATGTGCCGAACGACGCACCTACGCACCGTTCAGTAGGTCCCAACTCCATGTGCTTCAGAAGCTTGTAATCCTTAACCATTGGATTCAGACCTCAGGCTCGGAGACACCCCAGACTGAAACTCCAACATCTGAATCTCAACCCTAATCTCTCTCTCATGTGCACAGGCAAACCCATCAGACGCCAATACCCAAACCTTACCATCCAAGACATACTTGGCAGGTCACCGCGCTCCAATACACCCTCTAGTCTGAGGGCAATGCAATTCTGTGGAGCTTCCAAGTGCAGCTGTGTCCACCTGGTGTGTTTGGAGCTTACGGTGCTCTGTAGGGTTAAAGACCTAGGCTAAGCTTCTTTCCCCAACCTCAACGCGGGACTCCAACAAAGGACCTCATCCAGATTTCTGTGCTTTTTGCAAGAGGACAGGGCTTAGGTCCCTGAATGTCCCTGGCTCTTTATGCTAGAGCTTGAAGATTTCCCCTTTTGTCAACCGTGCAATGTAAAGAATCAAAACGATTGCAAACTTACACACGCTCGCGTGCGGTGCAAGTACTTGCTGGCCTGTGAATCTCGTCCTACTAAAGCCATTATTATTATTACTATTACCAATATTATTCTTACTACTACTATTACCAATATTATTATCATTATTACTATTACCAATATTATTATCATTATTATTCCTACTAGTATTAGTATTAGTACTATCACTATTATTATTCTCTTGCAAGCATGAAAAGCTCAGATAGAAGAGGTTCTCAAGAGAAACATGGTGAGATATTTGCATGAAGATACGTCCACCTAGGTAAGTTTAGGGCCCTCCTTTTACGCTAAGGCAGATGCCATGCCGTAGGGACCACCTTAGCCCAAACCTCATTCAACAATGAACCCCCTATCTTCACTCGACGTCCGAGGTATGATGAAGGAGACTACATCATCAGATCAGGGTTGGAACTAGTTTCCACCAAGGGCCATGTTCCTACTTACAGATAAGTTTTCAGGCATCTACATTGTGAGCTGATGCTGAGATTTTATGGATGACCCATAGCTTGGACTCTTGGTACATGAGGCAAGGCATGCGCCAGCAGTTCTTCTAGACGCATTGCGGAGGAGGCCGACATGGTTCAGAAATCAGACTGAATAAGTAAGTGTTCCTACCAACTGTTGGTGCTAATTCCTGCATGACCCAAATACCTGTACATCTCGGGAACTAGGGTACTGGAGCCTCGCAGTCATGTAGGATGTCTTGTGCCCATTGTGGTGACCGTCACATGCCCGTCATACATTAGGCTTCGGATTCAGCGATTGGGCCGCGAAAGGAGCTTTGTAGGGAGATCCTTCTCACGGAAAATGCACATGTCATATGATTTTTTGCCTCGAGCATGGAGCGAGCTCGCGCATTATGAGGAGGCTTGCTTCTGTGAGAATCTCATGCACTCACTAGCTGAATGCTCTTGCTGCGTAGAAGCACGGATTGCTGGATGGTTTGGGGTTATATACTAGCGCTAAGTCCCTGGAAGCTGTATGGGCCTTATAATCGTGGTTAGTCTTCGAGCCCCTGCATCCTGCACTCTGAGCTCTCAGTTGCACATCCTAGGTGTCCAACATCTTCGGCTTTCCCAAGCTTAGCCTGTCGGCTTGTACTTGGGCTTTTTGCTACGCAGCTTGCTGGTCCTCACTCTTCGTCGGGGTTCTCCAAGGCCTGGAAGAGAAGTTCGGACTCCGCACTCTCCTTGGATAGGAGCTTAGGGCTGAAGACCTGCAAGGGTTTAGAATGGTTTAGGGTTTAGGGGTTTGGGTTTAGGGGTTTAGGGGTTTGGGTTTACGGTAGGGGTTTAGAGGTTTGGGTTTAGGGATTAGGGATTAGGGGTTTGGAACTTAGAGCTGAAACTAGTTAGGGCTCCCGGGGAAGGCTAAGGGAGCTGCAGACTCAGGAGGAAAAACGGGTTTAGGATGTGATAGGGTACAACTCCTACCTAGAAAGCCAGTAGCCCATAATTATGGTCTACCTTCCCCTAATTTCCTACTACTTTGGATTAAAGTACCCCAGTATTATAGGTAGAGTTCAGGTATAAAGGGGGCCATGCCATGCTTCTTGATGGCAACTCTTTGGACCGGGATGGCTGCCAAGGAATCCGGCACGCAGCAATGACTTGTGGTCCCTACGGGCTTCTACCTGCAGATTGCTTATCTGGTTTAGGGTTTAGGTTTCGGGGGTTTAGGGCTAGGGGTTTAGGGTAATTTCGGGCGCCCGACATGCCTTGTCGCGAGTAATGCATGCTCCATAGACCCCATCAGAACAAATCCTAAGCCCCTAGACCCTAGACCCTGGCCCTACACTGATCTACTTACTTATCGTTCTTAGAATCCCAAAGACAAGAGGAACCACTCATAGTTCTTTCTGGATTCCAGTACGTAGGGTCCCAGAAAGTATAGATCCGCGATGTTGGGAAGGCACGCCAGCCGGTGGCCGGCACATGCTTCAAACCAGTGAACGTTGACTAGAAGGCCTGCGAAACTTTTGAGCGGGGTTCCGATGAAATGCTTTGGAGGACCTCTAAAGGGGTGAGCAAGCATGGACAGCCAAGACTCCTTCTCCAGTCTCTTCTTCAAATCGTCACACTGCTTTGAGCGGATGTGGCTTGCCCTTGGCAGCAGGATTTTAGTGATGGAGCCCTAAGAGAGGTTTTGATGAAATCCCCTGCCCCTTGTACGACTATGCAAGGCTCCCCCTCAATTTAGGATTGGTTAGTGATAGTTGGTACAAGGCGCATTACGTGAACCTAGGGAGGTTGTGCAGGCCGTGTGGCAGGGGAGGCCGTGATATTTAGGATTCAGGAAATGGTGTTAAGGCGATAACGTTTGGTTTGGAATCTAGGAATTACGTAGTTATTTGGCAAACATTACCACCTTGCAACCCTGATGTAAAAAGAGCCCACTCACAGTAGAATGTGACATGGCTTAGTCTTCGTTTGGGATTACTATGCAGACTCTTCCTCACCTCCACCACATTCTGAAGCATGTGCCAGAATAGAATAGATCCTCCCCGCAAGGAATATCCAATGCTAGGAGTTGGGGGGGGTTTAGCTCAGAGATACTCAGCTAATGATGCACGTACGCCCAGAGTGCGTTGATGAAAAAGGATTGTCAATCAACACCCTCCGACTAAACAAAAACAACTCTGCCCCAAACCCTGCAACCTCGACTCTTTCAAACCTGTTCACGTGACTGTACATAAACAATCCAAAAAAAAAGTACACTTCTCGATCGGTGGGCTTGGGGTTTGGATTTAATGCGTTGGATCAGTCGAATCGTGGGGCCTGTCTGAACTAGAAAACAGGACTGCCAGGCCTCTTCCTCCCATCCCGAGCATTGGAGCTATGGACGAAACTCCTAGTATCCCCATGAATAACCCCTTGTATAATCCGCTATATAATCCCGTTTTAAAGAGTTTAGACTATGGCTCATTTAGTGATTGGCTCTGGGATCTGAAGCTGCAAGATTCAGCCGAGTATCATGCTGTTGCCCACGGACAAAGCAATGGTAAGAGGGACGCTTGCGCCAGCAGTGGCAACGTTTGCTACCGTCCCAATGATCTGGTAGAGGCCAGAGGCCAAGGGGTTACTGGGTTGCTGCTAAGGAACTTAAAGGAAGTTACTATAAGAAGGAAACCCTATTATTTGCTATATACCAATATTATGGTAACTTGACTTAAATTCCCTAACAGCAACCCAGCTCATAGGGCAGTAGGCTTTAACCCCAAATCCTCACCGAAGGATTAAAGGGTTCTAGGCTTTGGGTTGGAAATGCTTATCATCCTGTTGACGGATCAAGGCGGATGTCTAGGACTCTAAGAACTACCCTCGGTATAAGTTTGTTCCCGAGTAGCGTGGGCTTCCCAAGTTTCGCCGAGATTGTTCAGCACCCCGCAGGTTCGTTTGGGGTCCCTTAATTGTGTGAAGTTGCGCGGCCAAAAAAACATCTGAGACTAACTCAATGGAAACCCTTCTAAATGCCTTCTAAAGCCCTTCTGATCTTTTACGGGGGCGTCCCCCTACACTAATCAAGACCCAACATTAAGTAGCCAAGTCTTTGGGTGCAGGACGCTTTGGATGCGGGACTTGGCTATTGCCGTGCGGGCTTATGAGCTGAGAGTTTCGAACTTGGAGCTGGGGAGCTCTGAATGATGCGGATGCATGTCTCTTCTGAAAACTATCAGGGCCAACTAGACTAACTAGACCCTAAACCCTAAACGGCCCTAAACACTAAATCCTAAACCCGGCAACTAGATTGCAAAGGCCTTGCCTTGGTGGTGCCAAGTTGGCATGGGCTTTGGGATTCGAAGCTTTGGGGCTTAGGGTTTTGTACTTTGATCCTGGAATCACAGACAGAATCAGAGACGTAGGGGCCCATGGAAGTCTGCTTCGATTCCAAGACCCTTTGGCCTAAACCCTTAGCCCTTGACCCTGAACCATCCAAGCGACGTTTTGCGTGAAGGAGATGATCGTCGTTATGCGGGAAAACCGCGCATGCTTGATCTGGCACTGGAGCACCTGTAGGGCTACAGGATGCTTCTTACGGTCTTACGGACTTAAGGGGCTCAGATCCATACAAAGACTTATAGGGTTTAGGGGGTTTAGGATTTACGGCTAACCCTTAGACCCTGAGAAACCTCAAGCGGTCCCATGGGCTGCATGGGAAATCTGGATCCCTGACCCCTTGAAATTGAAGGGGCCCACATCCTGAACCATGACGCCCACATTCTGAGCCCTAAACCCTAAAACCTAACTCCCTGGCCCTCCCACCTCTTGGCCTCACATCCCATTGCCAGCCTAGTGTACCCGAATCCCATGCCCTAAGCCCCTTCTGGGTACAGCCAGCAAGTCAACCTTCAACCCTGTATATTGTAAGCCCCCTTCTCAACCTGCTTACAAAGTCCCCCTGACCCTCCGAGTATGCCCTGATTTTGGTAACTGACAATGACAACCTTAAACTCACAATTTCTTTGCCTTTCTCTCCGGAAAACGGAAAACCAACGAGCCCAAGCCTTAAATCTCAACATAGCCCTTGTCTCCCAAAAATCATCCCTAAATCTTACACCCTACACCATATAAGTGGACCCTTATGCAACTGATAGGGAATAATAACTCGACCTACCAAGCCTCTGTGACTTTCTGCAAACCCTCAACCCTAAGCGCACATCTCTAAGCCCTTAATTTTAACCCCAGGCCCTCCAGCCTATATTCTCAGACATAATCCCCCACATTCTAGACCCTAACCCCCTAAATCATTTGGATAAGCCGGAACCGCGTGCTCGTTGATGTTGTCCTTATCATCCAGCGCAAGGTTCTTCAGCTCTCGTTTCAGATCCTGTTGGCCATCGAGGCTAAAACGTAGAGACTAAATACGGATAGATAATGCAGGGGAGCATGTAGAGGTTCTATAAGACACATAACACAAATGCCCCCAAAATGGAGGATCGAATTGAAAGCAGAATAGAAAGTGGAATGGGAACGGGCATGCTGGAATTTGGGTTCAGGGGCTGGATAGGCATCTTGGAAATCAGCGAAGCTGTCATCCAAACTGGTAAAACGCTATGGGATACTACGCGGTCATAGCTTGGGTTTTGCCTACCTACATAAGCTTGATAGTTTCGCTCAAGATGTGGGGTTCTAGGGCTTTGGGTTTCGGGTTCGGCACTATGGTACGGAGGATATTCATCTCTTTTGGATTTGTACTTCGGGCCACAAACCCCAAATCCTAGACTTGATATAGGGTTTTACGGTCTAGAGCATCCCTATACCGCATAAGCTCTAAAATAGAAGCCCTAAACATCCCTAAACCCTAAACCGCTGATCTCTTGGGCTACACAGTGTGCATGTCCATAAATATGTCAGCTGCAAACTTCCAGGCACAGTACTTAGGTAGTATAATGACCTAAGCCAGAACTCTAAACCGTAAGCCGTATACGGAATAGGCGCTGCTACATGTATACACGGAATGCGGGACCATAGTACTGGTGATCATTTAGGCTTCTACAACAAATGCTAAGCAATAGACCGAACAAGAGCTAGATATTTCTGCCAGGAACGGCGCGGGTGCAGAGTGTGCTGTGCATAGCGCAGTGCGTCGGAGTGAAGAGAATGCACTGCGTACAGTTGAAGTTGAAGACTGTAGACAATGAAGAACCCTTCAAGATGAAAGCCCATCTGAGCGCAAAACCTTGCCTGAATCCTGAATCAGAGGTGCAACGCAAAGAACATGCTTAACTTTGATAATTGCCTTGACCTCAGGAGACTTCTGCAGAATGGATTCTTGCGAGGCTGGTTGCGTTTTGCACAGCACCTGCTTTTGACAACGCTGGGCAACATAGAGAAGAACCCGACTTTCTTAAACCATTGAAACTCCAAACCAGGAACATCCATATGCCTCTTGTCTTTGTGGGGTTTAGCTGCCCAGTCTTTTGTGAACTGTCTAGGCTTCATGGAGGACATCACGCAGCATAGGCCATGCAAGCAAGACACTTGTTAGACACAGAAACCCTGATTAAAACGCATCTTGTGTGGTTACGACCGCCATCACTAATGCTAAGCTTGGACCCAGAAGTCCTGGATGTGCTTGTGCGTCAGAACAATTGATGCTCCCGTCAAGACCCTCAGATGTCAGCCAAAATACGCCCTGAAGCCAGCTGAACAAAACACAATGATTTCACCTGCCCCAAAATTCAACACGGAAGCCTGCAAGTGGCGGTCCAAACACTACTGTCCCTGCAACAAAGAGGCCTATGCATGTTTGTGTGTGAGCTTTGGGTATAGAGGTTGGGGTGTAATTTGCCGGGACTTGTTGCAGGTGAGCCCCGCAAAGCCTACCAGATCTGACTGTCAACCCTGAAGCCTTAGTCCTTGCCGTAGGGATCCAAGTATACAAATACTGCCTGTATTGGGCCCTTACAGCTATAAATATTACCTACGTTGGGCTACTTGCCTCCTCAGAGTTAAAGCAACAACTTGCTGAATAACCAGCTATGGCGTCAACCCGATTGGGCCCAAGTATGGTGCGGCCGCGTTGGTCGCCGTTGCTATGTATTGCGCGGTCTCCTTGACCACCAGCGCAACGACCCTGAGAGTTGTAGGGTTTGAGTTGAATCTTGCATGACCCAACCAACAGCATCAGAGTTCGCCAGGTTAAGGAGTATATAGTGGCCCGGATAAAGATCATCGTAATCCCTTGCGGCCATTACTAGAGCATGCGGGATAAGACTGCTAGGTAAGATGAGGGAACTCCTTTTGCACACGTTCAGGTTTGGGATTTGGGGTTTCGGGGTTTGGGCTTCGCACCTCCAAATTCCCAGAGCTTTCAGCTTTAGGCTAACAAGCTCAAATGACTTGTCTTTCCTTCCAGAAATCAGTCAATGCTCCAGGGGCTTGCCTACTACTCTTGCTCCCTCTAACGTGATAGTTCATGGAATCTGGATGGCATTTTCCTGGCTAGACCTCGTGGAAGCCGCAGCTTCAAGCAAGCTACCGTGAAAACAGCCGCCCTAAAATTTGAAACCTGAAGCCCGGAAGGCACCCTGTCGAATCACTCGCACGATTTAGGGCCTAGGGCTAGGAAGGGTTTACAGCTCTTGCAAAAAGTTTCGCAAACAAGCCTTTAGTGTATGTAGACCCTGGTCCCTGGCATGTAAACCCTGAAGGCGCAAAAATGGAAATGCAATGTTCGCACGCTTTAGGATCAGCGCTTGCTCATCAGCAGGTAGTACTACACTCCCCCAAACACACCCTAAACCCTAAACCCCTAAAAACCCGCTCCATGGTCTGTGGACTGTCCTTTTGACAGGAGGCAGCCTGGGATTTCCATGTTTAGGAAGCGGGACACCCTAGATGCAAAACCCTGAAAACATGCTCCCGAAGCCTGAATGCTTTGCGGACAGCCAAGGCTCTGTGAAGCAGTTTCAATACGACCTCTGCCGCTTTGTTTCGAGTGAAATGAACTTCAAGACTCTGAACGGTCAGTTATCCGTATGGGAGTTGTTTTTTCTTCGAAATTCTCCTACTGAGACTAACACATACCTCCATCATCGCCTTTTGTAATCCTCATGTAACATGGGTTCTCGAAGAGCAGCGTCCAATTCGAAAAAATAGAAGTTTTGGAACTAGAGAGTGTGTAGAAGCAATTGTCCATAATGCAGTTGCTTCTGAAGTAAGTTCCTAGGTCGTGGGCTAACAAACGGCACCCCAGGCACAACGGGTCATTGAATGTCTGGGGAACACAAACCCTTACCTTCAACATTGGAAATCAACAGCCCCCTTCATGTATAGCCCTACGGGTTCAAGTACCCAACAGGAACCATATACCGAAAATTCTTTCTACAATAGGTAATACCAAAATCCCAGTTGCCCAATTATTTGGTACATGGACCCTTTGGGTACCAACTTTGCTGCATGTTTAGTTCACGCTTTGGCCTGTGACTTGAGCCTCATGATGGTATTGTAAACAGGCCTTGTTCCACTCGCAGGTTTTTCGGATGAGCCTTGTGAACGAAGACCAGCTTCACGGTGGGGTTTAAGTTCAGCTATCATGTCCCCCAGACTCGGTTTACAATTATGAGCAATCATACTTCCAAAACCATGCTCGTATGAGCGGAAGAGGGCAAGTAGCTTTTCCAGGTTTGCACGAAGCCAATCCAGCCCTTGTCCAGCGGCGCTGCGACGACTCCTAGATGTCGGTGGACGGTCGCCTTGGAAGGAAAGTTGGAGCCTTAAGGCAGTTATACTTCCACTGCAATCCCAGCGGTACCCCCCCCATGAACCGTAACAGGGGACTTAAGGAGCTTGTAGTCTTGGCAATAGGCTCCCATGACATATAATTGGGCCGTACTTGCCCTGAACCTCCAAGCAGGGTTTTGCAGGATGTGAAGGCCGAAGGGTTTGCTTTAGCACTAACTGCTGTAGAAATAGATGTACGTACGCAGAAAGGTACTGTTTCTCAGGTAAGAGGGACAAGGAGAGTATCAGACACTGAGCACTTGCTGTTGATATTCCAGCATGGGCACAGGGATTCACACACTAAGCTGTCCTTTCCAATTGGCCCTACCTGCTGTATGATCCTGAAATTTGGATATGCGATAGGGACTCCCAACCTACATACTTCCCTATACCATGGGGTTATATAGGGGTTATATTGGGATATTGGAAAAGAAAATTGGAAACTACTATGCTATAGGGTTATATTCCCCAAGCTGTAGACCCCAAGCGTGAAGTCCCACACCCGAAGCCCTCCCCACATCTGCTCCGGGCTGCATCCTGCCGCTTGAGCCCGCACTGCGGAGGCTCCACCATATGCTTCGTCCTTAACTTATGCTTTGAGGATACTGTTGATGGAGGAAATCTTGCACCACCTTAGGTCCCTGAAGTCCTAGGAATTACTGTAGTTTAGGGCCCCTAGGTGGTGCAAGATTTCATCCATCAACAGTGTGGTAGTTTCCCTAAGCTGGGATACTCACATAGGCCCCACAAGGCTATAATCCCAATTATGAGGACCCCAAAAAGGTATCCCCAATTCTGGGAAACCCCATAATAGGGTTATGTTTAAGCAGGAGTTAGTGTTAAGCGTCTACCTGCACCTCCACTTAGCTGGACTTCAGGGTATTAAGGATCAACTCACCAGCTGCCAGGTAGAACACGAAAAGCAGTGGGTAGGTACAGTCCCCCTTGAGTAGATAGATAGAAAATGGTGTATACGGGGATCGTAGTATAATATACCCAAAGCCATATTCTATCTGCATAAGGGGGGACCATAAAAAAGTTATGCAAGTAGGTAGGTAGGCAGGTTTCCAGGTGAGGCTTCCGGAAACAGAGCATACTACGAAAACATAGTCAAACTCCAATGACTGTGCCAGGTTCGCACGCACAAGCTCCTAAAGGTCCCGTATGGTCTCTTCCTATGGGCCCCATACATCCCAACACCCTGAACCCTAAAGCGTGCGGAGTCCCCATAACATAGGGCTTCCTTAACTGGAACTTTCCTGAGGCTTCCTCAATGCAAGGTTCACGCCCACTTTGGATAAGGCCGCGCTGACCTTCTTCTTCTCTTCGTCATAACGGTTGAAGTCTGCCTCAAAACAGCTGCTTCACATGCAAGGAAGCTCCAGAATCTTCCCCCAAGGTCCGTGTCCAAGTACATGAATTCCCTGCAATTTGGGCCGATAGGAATTACTACATAGATACTTCTTGCTCTTAAACTGTATGCTACCCTTTCCCCCTATGATTGACCCCCCCACGTAAAATATGATCCATATATTAAAGTATAGCACAGTGGGAAAATTCAATATCCAGGGGCTGCGGGATTCTGCTACTATAGTCCCCCTT